ACCACACTGATGTCATGCACATGCCTTGAGTCTTCATTAGGACCCCATGGGACCAATGCTATCTCTGTCCATTTTACAGATGACAAAATGGAGGCTCGTGGAGCTTAAGGTGCTTCCTCAAGGTCCCATTTCTGCTGAGGGACTGCTGCGTGAGGCCAGGTCTCCCAACCTTCTGGAGCTGGGTTGCCACTATCGGCTTTCCCTTCTCCTCAGAAGGAAAGGGCCCAGGTGAGTTAATGTTCTCAGAAAGCAGGTGTGGCCTCTGAGCAGCCCTGATGTCACAGCAAGGGCTCCTGTGTGTGACTCGCGGGGCTCCCCAGCCTGCCCTAGTCTGTGTATCATGCTGGGCCCAGGCCTCCCCGAGCCTGATCAGGGGGAGGGGGGGGACAGAAGTGACTGATTTCTGTTCTGCTGTCACATCGTGGCCATAGAAGGCACAGAAGGGCGTGTAACAGTCTGTGATACGGGGGCGTCAGATAACTACAAACACTGGAAGCCACTGCTTCAAGGTCCAGATGAACTTGAAAGCCAAAACCATGATTTTTGATAACTGCATGACTATGATTTTCCTCTTTGGAACCTATTTTGCTGTAAGCTGGAGGGCCAGGCCTGCAGCGGGGGTCAGGGCCCCTGGAGGTGGGTCTGGCCCTGGCTCCCACGGTTCCCCTTTCCCACCTGGAAGCTTTTGGGAGCTCCGGTTATCAAAGCAGAAATGGACTTCAGAGGCCTCTAGTCCAGCTTACCCATCTTGCAGATGAGAAAACAGAGGCCCTAAGCAGCAGACTAGTTTATCAAAGGTGCCTCTGAACTCCTGATGGGTCTGTCCTCTGTCCTGTATAAGTTCCCATGTCACCTCCCCGGCTCCCACCACTGGCCCGCTTTCTCACCAGGAGCTGTTTTATGGGGAAGTCCTTGAGGTTCCCATCCCGGGGGGAGTCCAGCACCACGGGGAAGCCTTTGTGTGGGGCCTCGATGTAGCCAAACTCAATTTCATCCTGTGGGGACACGGAGGACAGCCGTGAGTCCAGGGCGTGCCTGGGAACGAACCTCAGTCAGCTAGAGGGAGAAGGGAGGGGGGGAGACAGGTGCACTTGGGAAGGAGCAGGGAGTGTGTGCCTCCTGGTCCCCGGATCCTCATATGCAAATGATGGTGGCCCATCTCCCCACGGACCCTCCCAGCATACCGCAAACATGGTTCTTAGCAACACTGACCCCATTTTTTTCTTTTTTTAATTTTTATTTTATTTATTTATTT